TGATTATTGTTCAGTTAGTAGCTTTGATTAACAGCTAAGAAACCCTGTTGGATAAACACATATTAAAGTTCTATCCACCACAGACTCACCAGACTTGTAATATGGAGCAGGTACAGCCATCTGCACTATGACCTCCAACCCCTTCACTTGTGTTTTGGGTGGGGCCACCAGGTAGATGAGTCCTCCCCACAGGTTCCAAACCTGTATCATCTGTGCAGTGACAGGAAATCGCTCATGGACAGACGGTGGTCTCTTCAGCTCCTCATTGTGATGCAGTGAGTCAGTTTGACATCCTATCTGAATCTGCAGATAAAAAGGAAAATGCATTATTAGCATGTGTTAGTTAACTGAATAGGTGCCAGAAACTGCAGTCTCTCTCTTTTTTAAGCCTTAGATTTTGGACCATTGGCTGATAGGAATCTCCCTGCCAAATCTGATCTTTCTACCAACTTTTTTTTTGGACATTTTTAAAGTAATTATCCCTGCAGTTATGTTTTTGTGTCTGCGTGACCTTGTTAAATTGGGTAACTTAACTCTGTCTCATCCCAATATTGTCACTTGCAGTTTAAAAAAAAAAAAAAACCCAACATGATTGTAGCCAAAGCACTGAAGTTGAGGCCTTAAGCTTTAAAACCAGTGGGTGATGTCACCCACCCATTAGATATAGGTGGATTGATATTGAAGGCTGAGGCATGCCATATCATTATACTGCTGGGGGCAGTCTAGTGGGCTTGACTGGAACCTCAGCTTATACTTATGATGGTGTATAATCTTCAAAGTATCACATCAGGCTAGAAAATGCATATTTAAAATAAATAATGAGAATAAAATATTGTGGACCCCAACCTTTGGGAGGCATCCCGATTAGATGCCTCCTGAGGACAGAGACTTGCATGGGGTCAGCATTATCACTGAAATTAAAATCAATTGACTTCATATGCAGTACCATCCAATCCTTGTTGACAATCTGAGGTGGTATGGCCATGTAGGTCTTCATACCAGGAGAGAGGTAGAGACCTGCGCTGATCCACTCTTCCCCATCTGAAACACAATTATATTTAAAAAATAAATCAACACAGTCAGGGACATTTGCAGGTATAAAATCAGTATTTTAAAAACTGTATTTCACAGTTTTCAGTGTCTACAGTGAGGTTCACAGATTAAAACTGTGTAACATCAAGTAACAAACATTGCTGCATCATGGTGAACATTGCTATGTGATTCAAATTTATTAGCAAAACAAGAACCACTGTACACATATTGTAAATTGTAAAATTATAACCAGTTCACATAACACAGCAGAGAGATCTGACCTGCTGTATTGACATCAACCTTGATCCGGTGGTTATAGACAACAGGCATCATTGGGTTGCCCTTAATGAGGTAGGGCGGGAGAGCGTCAGGGTCTGGGGAAACCTTATATACCTGGGTACCCACAGCGAGGAGGAGGTGGTCTTTGGGACTCTTTACAGGGCAGCTGTCACTCACCTTGAAAATGAGTGGTGAATGTTATAAAAATTATCTTTTGCACATTATCACAGCATCTGCAGCCAAAAAAAAAAAACCTACCAAAACCAAACACTCATAGATTGGGCAGCTGTCAGTCATTGGTCACTTATAGCTGTGAGAAGTCAACCAGCACTGTTTCATTCTTTTGGAATTTTTTTAAGATGATCATATTATGTTGTCTACTCACTTCTGGCAGGCCTGATGTTATTAATATATCCGTGACTGTGGCCAAAACTTGTCTGTAGTGGGAGGAGTCATGGGCTTTCATCTGCAAGTAGACGTTGCAGTCGTTGCCCAGCTTTTTCAGATATCTCTCCTCATGCTGGCTAAGTTTTTCACCTGCAGTCACATGGGCAGCAAAGCGGTTTAGAAGGTGGCGGAAGTGGTAGCTGTCTTTAATAGTCTGGCTGGGTACGAGAGCTTTGTATGTTCCTCCTCCGATTGTTGCACCCAACAGGCTCAATCCCATTTGGTTCAGGATCTTGTTCCGTGAAAGATATTAAAGCAAATCTGACTTAATATACTCTCGTTTACTGTTGGAAGTGTAATGACTTTGGTTTTTTCATTAAACTGCAGAAGGTTGGTTTTTTTTGCCCAAGATGTGACACCTTATCATCACTGTAGGCTATTAGAGCTCTGTATGTATATAATAAAAGAGCTTTATGATGTTTTTATGAGCAATCATGGCTTGTAGTGTAAATGGATTTAAATGATACAGGCAAACTATAAAAACAATACAGTCATTTTGAGTTTGAAAACAAGCCCAAAAATCTTTTTTCACATTTAGTGACTCATGTATACCACATACAGTTAGGTCCATTATTTGCTGGACAAGAGAAAACTCCAACTGTCAGTTTCAAGAGGAAAAATGCATAGTCCATTCTGGCCATGAATGAGCTTTTTAGCCTTGCAGGACTTCTGGAAACAATGCTGGGTCAATAATAATAATAATAATTAGTAGTAGTAGTAGTAGTAGTATCATTTCCGGGCAGTCACCCGTAAACTGTGTGAGTGACTCCAGCAGATCCCAGGGCCAATATCCGAGATCTCTATCCAGAAGTCCACAGTCCAAGAAGCACCAAAGATACTGTGCAGAATACTTAATCTCTTAGGTCTCTGGTAGAGGAAGCAAGCTTGAAAGATAAAGTATGTCAGCAGAGTGAGTGGTATTTTGACACTACTGTAATGTTACTTTGGTGACTTATTGGCCCACATACACCTACATGATTACCAGCCAGCAATAAATGTCCAAAAAGGAAGGAAATCTCAGTCTTGTATCCTGACCAGCACTCAGGGGTAAGTATTGACAACCCTCGAGTGCAACCGGCAACCTTCTGGTTACAAGACGAGCTGCCAACTCTTTGAGCCACGATCGCTCCAGATTATCTGATATAGAAAAGGTTTGGGAGATTAGCAGAAATATTTAACTCTTTGAGAACTACTTCCTGTTAACTCCTAACCCTATCAGGATATGTGAATTTTAGGGCATTTGAAATGTTTTACTTAAAGGTAAATATATTTACATTTTTTAAATGTAAATTTATTTTTACTTCCAAACACTAGGGTAATCCGTAGGGAACTGCTAATGTAGACAAATGTAATGTACACTGAAATAAATCTTGAAAGGAAGCATATTTACTGTCTAAGCTGAAACATCTATAAAATAGTGCATTCGTGTACAATAGGAGCAAATTCCTGTTATATGTTCATGAAAAAAACTTTAATTTAAATACTAGTTCAAGGTGTCAACTTTACCTCAAGTCCCAGAAATCCTTCATGTGAAATCAAAATGACTCGTCCCTGTCCATAATAGGCTCCTGCGAGGAATGCACGTCCATCATGTGTAGTATCGATGGGAAAGGCTAGCGGTCCATGGACTAGAACCTCAGAAGCAGTTGACCCCAGCGGGAGCTCGAACTCTGAAATTCCCTGGAGTAAGAACTGCAAGTCGTCCTCAAAATCCTTACCTTTGCTGCATTTGAAAGAGGGAAGAATAAAAGGGGAAAGACAGTCTATGGAATGTATTTTGTTTGCATCTTCATTTTGACACTCTAGAAATGGGGAAATGGATGTAGAATAAAATATATTTAACAACCAAAAGAAGAAAAATCTGTTTGCTTCAGTGACAAATAAGCTGTTCACTTTTGATAAAATTGTAATCTTTGTTTTTGTGCAGTAAAGCAGAACCAATAGAATCACTCACACCACAGACATCCAGGAGGACGGGATCTGAGGGTAGACAGGCAAGTTCTCCGCCTCACCACAGTTCTTAGTGAAGTAGATTCCTGCCACTCCCGACACTTTATTCCCATCAAACTGATGCAGTGTGTTCTCTTTGGGGTGATCTGCAGCCCAGCCCCACGCCTGCCCAGCTATCAGCACCCCTCCTCCAGCTTTCAGAAACGCCACCAGCTCCACTGGGTCTGAGCCCACGCTGTAGGCATCGGTCACATAAACACCAATTCCCAGTTTGTCACTGAAGGCTCCCACAACTTCTACTTGGAAGCTGGATTTTTGAAGGTTATTAGCAACTGCACATACACTTCTGTGCACCCCTACAGAGAGGTTATCAAATCCATCACCTCTCAGCCAGGTCACAGCATTTTCTACCAGAGCAGGAAAGGCTTTCAAGTAGCCCTCATGACCCAGGATCACAATCCTTCCACTGCCGTACAGAGAGGCAGCCATCAGCACCTGACCTCGGTTGTTCATTGCTAAAGGAAAGGCATGGTCTCCGATCAGCACCAGGTCACTGGGAACATAGGATCCCTGTAGGTCCAGCTCCTTCAGGCCTCTCATCAGGGACATGTAGGCCTGTTCATCTTGGCTTTTGAACAACTGGTTAGATGATTAGATTTTGAATTTTGGCCCACTGTGTATTTGAGTTTGACACCCCTGCTCTAGGAGCTCCACCTGACAGGAAAGAAGAACGATTTCAAATGAGAGCAGGAATAGGAGGAGTGCCTACTTCAGGTGCCCTAATAATAAGGGGAGGGTTTACTGTGATGACAAACACATGGACAAACAAATGGCCAGAGCTAAATTAAACATCAGATTCATAGAAAAATATCAGCAGTGGATAAGCTTTCTCAGAATAGGAATGATGTTTCACTGTGGCTGAATACACACCCTAAAAGAGGATTAAGCAAAACCTGCTCATCATGTTGCTTGAAGTTAACTAGTGTGAATGATACGAACACAATAGAAAAAAGTCTGGAGGTGAATTAAACACAACAACAAGAATATTGATGTTTCTTAAAAGAAGCACATGTTTGTACTGTAGACTACAGTATCAGCTTCGATGTGGTCCCTTACAGAGCTGTCCTCTGTTTACAGAGAAAAACAGCTTAGGCTTATTCATCATAGGGTTTTACATAAAGGAAACTTTACATAATAAATGAATGAAAATCATAAAGAGTCACATGTCATTCATTCTCAGGTGAGCATTTAGCCTCAAACTGAAATGTAAACAGAACAAATGCTCTCTTGTTTCCCTATTTCTGCATCAGGTTTTCTTCCTTGTCTCACTCATAGACTGTAGCATCTAATAGACCAAAACACTGACTCAGCAGTCATGAGTTAGTCTTCACAGAAGGCTTTCCACTGTTATTAGTGTGATGAAAAGTGATCTTCACGGTTTAAACCATTTTAATGTGCTTCTAAGTTTAAATTCTGTACGTCAGGACAAAAAATAACCTGCACTGAGAAGTGAATGGTCCTAAATGTTCCATCACCCTGGACAAACAAGCCAAATTCCCTCCATCTCTTTAATAAGGCAACACAGAAACATGCATAGATGATGTCATGGTTGTCATGGATTTGTCCCTTTCAGTATATTTCCACAAGGCTACTCCCTTCCACCACACCCTGTCCTTCCTTCCCTGCCTCACAGTAACCTAACACCTTAGGGAAATGAGGATCAGGGTAAGCTTGTCCGCAGTCTGAGCTGACTGGGAAGAGCTTTTTAACCTCTTAAAACAGTGTGGGGCATTTTAGCAGGCTCCTCAGCCTCAACACCTTTTAATCTGTTGTTCCCTTTTTAGGACAGATGAAAACCGGCCCAACCGGCTAGTTGGCTCATTTCTAGCAGTTAACATGCTGTATATTCTCCATTTTGCTACACGTGACTGCCTCTGGAGCCTACTTCCCCTTCTCAGCCATGAGTAGTTCTGTTTTATCTGCCAGCTTTGTTAGGATGCCTGGGTCGTTGACCCAGAGTTTTGAGTTTATTATATTATTTATCTTTTCTAGTCTTTGGTTTCTTTGTTAGAGTTCTGTCTTATGGTTTGTCTCTGTGTAATCCTTAGTTGCTGTCTCCCCTGTCTGCTATATCCCCGTGTCCAGTCAGTGTCTGTCTGCCCTGGTCCCACGTCTCTGTTCCCTCTGTTGTAGTGCCTGCCTGTGAGTCTGTGTCTGTAAGTTCAGTCTGTGTTATGTTTCCTGTTTTATTTTGAAGGTCCTTGTCTTATGTTAATGTATCTGGTTTTGCTTCCCCTGTTTCGTTAGGCCTGATTTGCCCCAGCTGTGTTTCCCTCCTGTTACCCATTCCCTGATTGTTCTCTCTATGTATTTAAGCCCTGTGTTTCAGTTTATCGGTGTTGTGATCTACCCTTATCTTGCTGTGTGTTCTGCCTGCTTTGGGTTACCCTTTTGAGTTCAGCATTAAAGCTGTTTTGAGTTTACATTGTGTCTCCGAGCGTCTGCACTTTGGGCCCTTTTCCTGCCTGCACACAGCCGTTCCATAACAAGTCCACTGTGTTGCTATCCTATGTCCACAACACTATCACCACCCTGTAACCTATCTTATGCTAAGTTGTACTTATTATCCAAGTTACTTAGTGATCACAATTTAAGAGAAAATGATAAGTCACTGACCTCAAAATCTGATCAGGTTAACTAAACTCTGTAATTATAACACACAGAAGGAGACTGTAACATTTTCATCAAATTTCTACTCCCTTCTTAATTTTTTCATTCAACAGAAGGGTTTACAGGAACAACTTAAATTGTGTTCCATTTACTTCTAGCTTCTTTTTTTTTTTTAATTCATTCAAAATACTTTGTGTAAGAATCCAGTCTCTTTGTTTTTTATCATCCTCCTAAATTCCCTTCTGAATTCTTAAATAAACTCTCAAATGTGTTTTCATCTGTTGTTCTTTAATTTGACCAGTTCATTATGGTTGGTGACTTTAACTTTCACATCTTCTTTCTTAGATCTTTCCTCTGGTTGTAATATTCTTAATAGTCCCGTTCTTATCGGTGAGCACACCCTGGAGTATGTTTCTACTTGTGGCCTGTCCTTAAACAACCTTTGTACGTCTGATTTACTGTCAAACTATAACTTCACTAATTTTGTGTTCCCATAGCAGACTCAGTCTGGCATTGTTAATGACAATTCAGCAGCTCTGTTCTCCTATTTTTACATTTGAACACCTGGGTTTTCAGTGATTTACATGAATGATTTAATGATCTGTGTAGGTCATTTCTTGATAGTGTAGCCCCTTTAAAATCTGGATTACCTCGAGCCATCAATCTTTTCCCTTGGATCAATGATTATATGTCACCATAGAAAGAAGTGCATAAAGGCTTAATGCAAGCAGTAAAATACAAATTACACGGCAAAGACACAACCAGGGTGTCATCTTTGTCCTGTCTCCATCCCTTCACCCCCCAACCATTTGAGAGAAAGCTGTGGCCCGTCAGTTACTTGGACTGATCGAGGGTCTTAATAATCTTAATAACATAAAGTCCTACATGGCCAGGGTCCCAGGTATATAGCAGAGATTCCCAGACATTATACTGCTACTGCTGTTGGTCCTTCAAGCCTTATTTTCAAGGTCTTATTTTATAATCAGAGGCCATCAAATTTTGATGTTGTAGCTGAAACAGCCTTCCTCAGCCTATAGGGTTGGCTGAATCTGTGGTTTGTTTAGAACGACTGGTGAAAACTTTGCAACAAAGGCAAGTGAGTGTATACAAATAAGAACAGAAGGGGCTACTTGAGTGAAAAAGACAAAGACAATTAGAGGAGTGACTTTAGTCAGGGCAACCGACCGACTCAGGCTGATGGAATTAAGTGAAAGACGAGGTGTCAGTGAACAGAGAAGGCTTCAAAACCTGTTAGTCAACATTCAGCATCTGTTTTTAAAACTCAGACAAGCGACACACCCAGGCTTTATTACGCACCCATTCATCTAGTTTTAAGGGCTGACTCTGCAATAGAATCCCATATGTCACTGTGTGTGTTTATGTGTGGAAGAAAACCATGGCAGTTTTGGATGCAAGTATAGGAAATGCAAGTAAGTAATAAATATGCAAACATTCAAGAACATTTTCATCTTCAGAAACGATCTCTGTTTAGTAATGTAATGTCTTCCAGTTTTCACAAGTCATAAACATCAAGTTGCATTTTCTGCAGGGAACAAAATTATTTGGCTTTGCTCAAATGATCGCAGAGACAAAGATTTCAGAATGAAACAGAGCCCTTCACTGCTTTTCTCACTTAAGATCTGAATTGAAAAAAAAATAAGTCTTTTAGAGATAAAGTGATTTCTCTTACTGTTTCAGATATCAGTGTAGTAAAACTAAAGACAAAAGTTATTTTATTAAAAAGTCTGACCTCTGTAGTGCAACTTGGAAATGCAAACATGAAAATACAGCAGAAGAGCAAATGAGAGATCCAATATTTTCCTTTTCACATAAAGTAAATCCAAATTTCTAATGATATTAGTGTCCTAATATCAACAACTGTGTCCTCACAAAAGACTGCTATTATTTGTAATGAAAGGTTTGCAGTGAAAGTATTCAGTAGAGCACATAGAGCACAGTGGAAGACACTTGATTGCAATGTATGCTATAATAGTGCAATGCTTTAGTATGTTTTCAGACCAGTACAAAATAAAGGGAAAGATTCAATACCTGCAACCTCAGTCCACCATTTCTGTTTCTCTATTCAGATACTCTAATAAATGTTGTTAAAACAGAACACCAGACACCAAATCAGTTCACCGTGTTGCCCATCATTCACTTCAAATTAAGATATTGGTTGAAACGGTTTCTCTGCACACTGCAGTGGTCTGAGGTTTAGTTATACTGGGTCATGGGGTGATCGTTCCAGGGAGGCAGTGTTGAGAGCTTCCCTTCAGTGGCTGTTTCTATTGGCCAGCCCCAGGCCTTAAAGAAGCCAGTCAGGTCCATCCCCACAGTCTGGGAGAAAGTCTCAGCATACAGGTTCATTTTTCCTTTGTTGTCACCGGGGAAGTCCTTCATGTGATGATACGCAGTAAACACCTTCTTAAAGGCATCCCAGCCAAACCTTTCCTGGAGCTGCAGATGAGGAGACAAAAATCATAATGCTGATAATCATGTTATGTCTAATAAAGTGTTCATGTCAGGCTTATTTCTGTTTGTTAAGATACTGTTTTAATTCTGTCTCCACACTTTCTTGATAGTGACTTCATTTAAAAGATATCATCTTACAGTTTCTGGAACTCGCCTTGTTTCACACTCTGCTTTCAGTTTTACATGCAATCGTTTTTTTTCCAGTGAAAGCAGGTCACTCCAGTGTGGACAAAGGACAGTTTCTCTACAGAGTAGAATTCTCTCACCTGCATATATGTTTCCAGAGCCACCCACATGCTCCAGCTGTCAGGTTTCCTGCCTCCTGCGATGTAATCCTTGGCTCGACTTTGTCGATTTTCTGCAGTCATAGCTTCATGAGCCTGCATTGAACAGTATGGAATGAGATGATTGTAAAATATTTTACTCTTAGTAAAAACTGAGTTCAATCATCAGTTATCATGGGATATCAAAATAGACACATGTGATTTACTCTACCTGTCCTCTGTGGAGCCCCAGCACCTCTTCATGCACATACACTGACCACAGGTTGCATGTACACTCTGTGGTGTTTGGTGGGAACTCCCAGCAGCCTCTCTGTTGGTTGTGTCCCAGCTCGTGGATGGGGCCCCACATTTCTTTACCTTTTTTAACACCGACCAGCTCAGCAGCTGAGACTTTGTGTGCCATGATAGGATAACCTGCATGCATCCAGCCTGAACAGAAAAAGAGAAATGAACAGTGGTATAGTGATGATTCTTTCAGATTTTATAGCTTTGATTTAAAAAAATATATATACAATTAACAAACAAACAACCAAAAGCATGATGTGATTACGGTTCTTCGGTAAAAGTTAGTCATGTTAAGTGTAAATGTTCATCTGTCTCTGTGGTAACCCTGCAGTGGTCTTGCGACCTGTCCAAGGTCTGCTCAGCCTTTTGCCCTGTCACAGCTGAGATAGACGCCAGTGGATGGATAGACGTTTGAACAAGTTTCTCTGATTGGCAGTTCTTTATAAACACAAGACTTCAATAACAAATGGGTAGAGCTTCTGCACTCAGAGGCTAAGCTGGGGATACACGCCCTCAGGGATTTCAAACGGAGCCAAAAGTAGAAGGAAAAACTGTCTGATGAATAAGCATTTAGAGCTCTAAAGCCTGAGCTTTCAGCTTACAGGGATTAAGTGTGCACACACCTCATTTTCTGATACTTGTTAGACAGCTGAAGCCAGCATTGTTACTGTATATATGCACTATTTTGCCAAAAGTATTTGTTCGTCCACCTTCACACCCACACAAATTTGGGTGACATCCCATTCTGAATCCATAGAGTTTAATATGATGTCAGCCCACCATGTGCAGATATAACAGCTTCAGCTCTTCTGGGAAGGTTTTCCACAACATTTAGGAGTGTGTTTATGGGAATTTTTGACCATCCAGAAGCGCATTTGTGTGGTCAGATACAAAGAGTCCAGTAGCAGCATTCTGTACATCACCAAAGCACAATGTTTTGCACTAGTTCAAAGCATTAAATGCAAAGGTTTATATGCTTTGCACTGTCCCTCGTGGTGTAAAGTTTGGAATCAGGTGCTCAGGCATGGAAACCCTTTCCATGAAGCTCTCTGTGCACTGTTCTTGAGCTAATCTGAAGGCCACATGAAGTTTGCAGGTCTGCAGAAAGTTGGCAACCTCTGCACGCTATACACTTCCTAATCCGATTACCCTGCTTTGTGATTTTATATACCTACCTCCTTGTGGCTGAGTTGCTGTTGTTCCCAGTCCCTTCCACTACTCACTATGTTTAGTAGCGAGGAAATATCATGACTGGACTTCATGCTGAGGTGGTATCCTATCACATTACCACACTGGAATTCCCTGAGCTCCTGAGAGCGACCAATTCTTTTACAAATGTTCATAGAAGCAGTCTGCATGCTTTGGTGCTTGATTTTATACACCTGTCTCATGGAAGTGATTGGAACACCTTACCTCAATGATTTGTATTGGTGACTAAATACTTTCTGTTTGCTAGTTCAGAGAACTGGACCATGCATACCCTGCCTGTCACCCAGCATTACTTGAGACTCTATATATGACAAGCCAGTTAAAGGCAGGTGTTTATACAACATGATGCAAA